GAATCAAATCAACACCTAAACCCAACATGTCCAACTATTAGAAAAAAAATAGCAAAAAGCCTACAGTCTCCAAGAGAAATACTGAAGATTCAAGCAGAAATAAATGAAACAGAAAACAGAAAAACAAAGAATCAGGACTAGAAATTGGTTCTTTGGAAAGATTAATAAAAAGTACAAACAACTGACAAATTTAACAAAGGAAAAGAGAAGATGCAAAGAAGCTGAATAAGAAATGAAACAGACAATATCACAACAGAACTTACTGAAATAAAAAGGATAATAACAGAATACTGTGAAGAACAAAGGATAATAACAGAATATTATGAAGAACTTTATTCTAACAAATTTAAAAATCTAGAAGAAATGGACAAATTTATAGAAACATACTATCTACACAAACTAACAAAAATCTGAAGTAAAAAATTTGAACAGTGCCACCACACATACACAAAAAATACTGAACAGATCATAAAAAACTCTCATCCAAAAAATGCCTTGGTCCAAATGCCTTCACTGGCAAATTCTACCAAACATGCAAAGAAGAGCTGACACGAATACTACTCAAATTATTTTCCAGAATATAGAAAAGGATAAAATACTACCAACTCAGCATAACTCTGATATCAAAACCTGGCAAAGATATCATTAAAAAAGAAAATTATAGACCAATATCCTTTATGAAAACAGACACAAAAATTCTCAACAAAATACTAGCTAACAGAATCCTACAACACATCAAAAAAAAAAAAAAAAAAAGTAATACAAGTGGGATTCATACAGAGTATGCAAAGATGGTTCAACATAAGAAAAGTAATCAATGTAAATCAGACAAATAAAACACAGGAAAAGAACCAAATGATCAATCATATCAACAGATGCAGAAAAGGCTTTGACAAAATCCAACAGCCATTCTTGATAAAAACACTCAGCAAAATACAAATAGAACCTTTTTAAATACACAATATTGCGTTATCAGCAATAACAAACATTAATCTATGGGTAAATAGATAGATAGAAGGAATGACCAGGTGTATCCAGGCAAAAGGGAATATACCCAGGACCATATATAAGGTTGCAGATGATATTTCTACATATGTATTTGTATGTGCTGTAACAATGTCCATATATGAAATAGAGCTAACAAAGGTCAAAGTTATAACTTATTAGCCACAGCTAAGCATACTGAGGGAGGAAGTAGTTGGACTTGTGAGCTCAGGACCATGGTTGCAGGGACATCAAGCTCAATTGGCATAACACAGTACACAAAAACATTGTTCTACTTTGGTGAGTAGTGAGTGAGGTCTTAAAAGCTTGCAAGTGGCCATCTAGATGCAACAATGGGTCTCTCCTTGCACTGAAGAATGAAGAAAATTAAAGACACACAGAAACAATTAGTCCAATTGACTAGTGGACCATGGGAACCTCAGCCTATATGACCATGAGACCAGAAGAACTAGATGGTGCCAGGCTACCACTGTCAACCGCTTGGAAAGGGCCAGAGCAGATCTTGGACAGTATGGGAGAACAATGTGGAACAAAACTCAAAATCATAAAAAAGACCAGGTTTACTGGTCTGATAGAGGCTGGTGAGACCCTCGCGACTATGGTCCCTAATTATCTTCAGGTCTGGACTTGAACTTACTCCCACGACTTCCAGCCAAACAACAGTCATATACGGTGAACATTTACACCAGGTAGATATACTCCTTAGAATGACCAATCATGGGTGAACAGAAGGGCAGTACTGGCTCAGGGAGACAGCTCAGGGGAGAGGAATACACAGGAAAGAAGGACACAGGGAAGAGGTTAACTATAGGGAAGAGGTGGGAAGAGAGCTGTTGCACTCTGGGGAGTTGTAGTCAATGTCATTAGGCAAAACGTGTATGAACTGCTGTAGAGAAATGAATTTGCTCTGTAAAATTTCACCCAAATCACAATAAAAATTTAAAAAGCAAACAAATAGACGGGAAACTCTCAACATAATTAAGAGGATATACACAAAACCAATGCCCAACATCATTCTCAATGGAGAGAAAGTGCAAACACTTCCCTTGTGAACAAGAACCAGACAAGGACGCCCCTTTTCACTACTCCTATTCAATACTGCAAGGAGCTCTGGTAGCACAGTGCCTAAGACATCTGACTGCTAACCAGTTGGTGGTTCAAACTTACCAGCCACTCCGCGGAAGCAAGATTGGGCAATCTACTTCCATAAGGATTTACCACCTCGGAAACCCAATGGGGATTGCTATGAGTTGGAATCGACTCGATGCCAGTGGGTTTTTTTTTTTTTCCTTCAGTATTGTATTGGAAGTCCTAGCCAGAGAAGTAAGGCAAGAAAGGCCAAACTGGCAGAAAATAAGTGAAATGATCTTTATTTGTAGATGATATGATGCTAAACTTAGAAATCCTGAAGACTCTAAAAGAAAACTACTAGAATATAAAGACTCAGCAAAGTGGCAGGATACAGGACAACATACACAAATCAGACAGATTACTATATACTAACAAAGAGAACAATCTGTAGAGGAAATCAGAAAAACAATCATTTACAACAACCACCCAAAACATGAAGCACTTAGAAATAAATCTAATCAAAAACATAAAAGACCTATACAAAGAAAGACACAAAACACTTCTACAAGAAACCAAGAGACTTACATAAATGGAAGAATATACTGTGCTCATGGATAGTAAAAATGACAATACTACCCAAAGCAATCTACAGATATAATGCGATCCTGATGCAGATTCCACCATTATTCTTTAAAGAGATGGAAAAACTAATCACCAAGTTTATATGGAAAGGAAATAAAACCCTGGGATAAGCAAAGCAATGCTGAAGAACAACAAAGGAAGAGACCTCACACTCCCCAATCTCAAAATCTACTACACAGCCAGTGTAGTCAAAACAGCCTGATACTAGTACCATAACAGACACACAGACCAACAGAACAGAACTAAGAATCCAGAAGTCAATATACCCATCTACGGACAACTAATCTTTGATAAAGGGCTAAAACTCATGAAATGGGGAAAGGATAGTTTCTTTAACACATGGTACTGGCACATCCTTGATACTCATTTACAGAAAAATGAAGCAGGATCCGTATTTCATGCCACATACAAAAACAAACTCAAGATGGATCAAATACCTAAATGTAAAACCTAAAACCATAAAGATCATCAAAGAAAAAACAGGGCCAAACTTAGAGCCCCAACACATAGCAAAAGCAAAACTAATGCAAAAGCAGAATTAATGTGTGTTTTTGTGTTTGTCTACCTACCTACGTACCTACTCTACCTACCTATATAATCTACCAATCTAAACTAAAGTTTCTAATCTCAGAAAATTTCAAGATAAAATATTACTATAATGCCCCTGAAAGCTCTTTCATTAATTTTTATTGTCTTAACTTTGGTTCATTCACCAGTTGCTACTGTCCCTCATTCCACTTTGGAATTAAATCACCTTTGGAAACAGTAATTTAAAGAAAGACTTCTTATAATGAAATCCACTAGTGCAGTGGAAGTTTTCAAACATGAAAATGCTTGGGTTTTTTACCTTAAGCAAATATAATTAAAAGTAAATTTTTCTGTTTTAGTTAAAAAAGGAAAAGAAGGCAAGGAAAACTCTGGCCCCAAGAAAAAACCAAATCAGACTCTCTGCCTTTGAGTCAATTCTGACTCATAGTGACCCCTATTGGATTTATGAAGTGGTAGATTTTTATGGAAGTAGATTGACCCAATTTCCTTCTGTGGAGTGGCTAGTGGGTTTGAACCACCAACCTTCTGGTTAGCAGTCAAATACCTTAGGCACTATGCCACCAGAGTTCCTTTTGGTACCAAATATGTTACATTTATTAGAGTATGTATATTTGTGTGTGTTGGAAGTGGAGAGAAGCAATAATTGCATTAAGCAGCAAGGAAGTAATGATATCCCCTGCTTTTTTAAAGTTTGCTTTTTGCCTCTTCACTTTTATGAAAAACTGACACTAGAGTTCTCACAAACTGAAAGAAATCTGAAGAGGATTTTCACTTCTAGGGAAAAAAGCAAAAGGTGAAATTAGCATTAAGTATTTGCTTTGCAGCGAGGCTTTAAAGGGGCAGTGGACATCCCGTGCAGCAACAAGGGGCATCACTAAGCTCCTTTCCCAGGACAGTCAGCATCTCAGCTTCAAGCTCCAGAGCTTTGAACTGTGTCTGTCAACAATACGTATCAGTGTTATTTTAGGTTTTATGTGTTATTTGGTATGATTTGGTAGGTTATTTTTTGGGTCTGGGACTGCTCAAAAATGTTTTCCACATAAATTAACAGTACTGGCTTCTTTACTTCATACCATTTTGGCTTCGAGAAGATTTAATAAGAATGTCCTACTTTTGGACAGCAGGAAAAACCTCAAGTATTTAGAAGACACAAGAAAGGAAGCTACTTGTAATATATCCTTAGATATCTTCAATTTCATTTCACAATTACCTCTGTGTATGTATAAAATATCCATACTCACCCATATAATTCAATAGAGGAAAAGAGTATTTTTTTAAATGTAAGCAAAATATTTTCTATTCTACAGTAAAAACTAGCAGATACTGCAGTTTTAGACAAATTGATGGGACTCAAGTAATTTACATATACTTACTGGTTATAATCACAAGGAGCTCTGGTGGCGGCGTACCTAACGCACCTGAGTGCTATTCAGAAGGCTGGCAGTTCTAAACCCACCACAAGCTTCGTAGAAGGAAAGTGGGGCAATCTACTTCTATATAGATTTACCACCTTGGAAACCCAATGGGGGTCACTATGAGCTGGAACAGACTCTATGGCAGTGAGTTTGGTTTTTTAAGGTGGCAAGCACTATTCGGTAATTATTATTAAACTTATCAGAAAACTATTCATCTTTACTTAAAGTAGTTTAAAATCCCTTAAACACTTAATTCTTATCATTTTTCATCCTATCAACATATGCATACATACATAAGCACCAGAGTTACTAAAATACCTCCATAGCCTGGGCTAAGCGTTCTTCTAGTGCCATGTAGGTGAGGAACTGAGGATCCACATAAGAAATAGCTTCAGCAACTCCTAGTCCATCTGCAAATCCATCAAACAGGCTGGAAAAAAAAATGCAATCATGTTTTGGGAAATCTTTGGTCACAATATATTATATTAACATACTGATAAGCCAACAAATACATTTTGAGTTGTTGTGTTGTTTTTGTTATGTGCCATCGAGTCAGACACGACTCATAGCGACCCCTCCTTCGGTTTCCGAGGCAGTATCACTACGGAAGTAGACTGCCCCATGGTCCTTCCGAGGAGTGGCTGGTGGGTTTGAACCGCCATCCTTCTGGTTAGCAGTCAAATGCTTTAGGCACTACACTACCAGAGCTCCCACATTTTGAGTAGAAACCTTTAAATCATTTTAACATAAACCTTGTAGGGTTGGGCACAGGAGGAACAGAAAGTTAAAGTGCTAAGCATGACTTCTTCCGAAAGGTTGTTAGACTCACTGCCCAAAGTTTATAGGAAAATTCTCCATGTTTCTAGCTCTGTAGACTGCTTAAAACTGAGATGAAGATAGCACTTTCTCCAGCTTCATTCTTTCTCAAACATTTCTACCTCTGTTTTAGTTTCCAGTCAGAGTTCTGCAGAGATTGTGATATAGAGTTACTGCACTTATTTTAATTCTGTCATTAGTCACAGCCTCTTTTTCTTCTCTCACCTGGTATTGCTTAATTACTCTGGGCTTTAATTTATTTTCTCTCAATGCCTTTCTCATTAATCTCTTCTACTTTTAAAACAACTAGGTCTCCTCCATTATTACTTAGCTGGGAAAAAAATTCAGTTCCTCACTGCTCATTCTCATTACCTTCATCCTAAAAGAAAATATTATGCCTTAATATAGTCTTAATCTCCTTTCCTCACCCTACACATAATTCCTCCATTCCAGTAATCTTAGAAACATTAAGTGAGTCAAAATATTTGTCAACCATAAGTATGTTGTCAATCCTCTTCTCTCTAATCTTGGCCCCTTAGAAATTACATTCAAGCCTATTTCTTCAATTATCCTCTCTGCAAATAATTCCCAAATATCCACATGATTCCAAATTCCCCTTAAGCTTGTGGCCTACATTTCTACTTGTGTGTGGGGCATTTTACATGGATGTACCTCAAATTCAAGATCTCCAAAACTGAGCTTATTTCTTATCTAAAGACAAGTATCCGCTAACTTCCTTATTGCTATCAGAGTTTGACTATCATAGTAAGAAACATTCATAGTTACAAAAGTTAGCTAAAAAATAGTTTATTGCCATTATTGAAATTACAAGCTTATTGTCAAGAGAGATAGAAGGGAGTCTTAAAGAAGAATATATATTACAACTTAGTAATTGGAAATAAAAAAATAATACAAGAAACACAGTATAAAAGAACAGAAATTCTCATAATAACCACAGATTTTAGAAATGGAATGAACACTAAGCATTACTGAATCCAATCACCCTTGTAACATCGGGACTCCTCATGAGCAGGGAGATATAGTGCAAAGAGGAAGAGCTCTGGAGTTAGTCAGTTAGGGATTTAACTTCACTTTTAACTGAATTTAATTTGAAAATTTTATTTAACCATTCATTTTATTTCTTTATCTAGAAAACAAATTAAATGAGTTGATACACAGGTGCTTGATACAGAGGTGGCACCATAGTAGGCATTCAAGAAATAATACCTATCCTTCCACGTGGAGAATACACTGATATTTTGGGGTGATGCATTCTGGTGTGGGAGAGCCCTATTAGGAAATTTATGTGATATCAGTGTTCCTGTTTATGACATTTACCCTGTTGCTCTAGTTCTGCCTGCTGGAGAAACACAAAATATGCCCATTTTCTCTTGCATTTTATCCTTTTAAGTGGTTAAAGTCACTCATCTTGCAATAATTCTCTTCTTCTCCAGGCTAAATAATCATAAACATTCAAAGCATGATACCTGGTTGTAGTGTGGCTACTGCAGAGTACTCAGATAATGCTAAAAATTGTAGTATCATTCATTTGGCAACCACCAGGGTAATAATTGTTTCAGACAACAATCATAAACGGATGCTAAAACCAGTTCGATAATTTGAGAAGAAATAGATTATTTACAGTCTCAAAGTACCTTCACACAAGTTGCCTAATGATTATAAAGGGTAAAATGGCAACTGTACAGTGATGAAATTGGGAAGATAATACTTTAACCAAATGAATTTAACAGCCCCACTAATGGGAAAAATTGACACCATATGTCTTCTGACATATACCAGGATGGACAAAACATCACTTCTATGGTGTTCTTGACAAAAATTTATTAACTCAAATCTACTCATGACATCAGACAAACCCAACCTCAGGGACATACAACAAAATAAATGGCCTATACTTTTAAAAAAAGATCAAGGTCATGAAAGACAAATAAAGATGGAAAAAATGTTGCAGATTAAGAGAGACCAAAGAAATGCTGACTAAATGCAAGAAGTGATCCTGGTTTGGAAAAAAAAAAAAAAAAAAAAAAAATTTTTTTTTCTTTTTGCTCTAAAGGCATTAGTGGGACAACTGAAGGTACTGTATCATTGCTAATTTCCTGATTTTGACAATTGTACTTTGTTATATAAAGGAATGCTCTTATTTTCAGGACATTCATTCTAGATTTATGCTAAAAGAGTATCATGTTTGTAATGTATTCATAAATGGTACTGGGAAAACAAGACAAAAACATATTAGAGAAAGGGATGAGAAAATGAAGCAAATGTGGTAAAATATGTGGTTAATAGGTAGGGACTGTTAGTGAAGAATATATGGAAATTCTTTGTACTATTTTTGCAGCTTTTCTGTTAATCTTAAATTATTTCAAAAATAATAGTTTTAAAAATTCTATTATTAAACTGCAGCTACAGTCACACATAGTAGTAATTTCTTACTACCTTATTAGGTGGGAGCTCTGGTAGCATAGTGGCTAAGACACTTGCCTGCTAACCAGACGGCTGGCGGTTCAAACCCACCAGCCACTCCTCGGAAGGAAGGTTGGGGCAATCCTACTTCCATAGTGATACTGCCTCAGAAACCCAAGGAGGGGTCGCTATGAGTTGGGTTTGACTCGACGGCACGTAACAACAACAACCACAACCTTATTAGGTTAATAATGATAACCACAATTTTGTATAAAGAAACAGAGAGGTTAAGTAATTAGGAAAAACCAAATGATAGAGCTAGGATTTTAATTGTATCTGTATAAATCCAAAACCCTGTTTTCTTCACATTACCTCCTATCACACCAAGCTATGACATATACACTAGGTATTTTATAGCACCTCTGTGACACCATCAAAACAAACAAACTTTTGACATGGAATTTCCTCCATTTTGCTTTATACAGAAACAAAGAACTAAAATTTTTTTTATCATTTTTCTAAATAAAGATGAACATGAAAAAAGTATGCCATATTTGGGCTTTAGAGATAAGAAATGCTATTTGCCATGTTCTTCCTTTCAGTTTTCAAAATGCCATGTTATTTTATCATGAAAATTGAACTTATATTTTCCACCTTGTCAACACTTAGCTCCTGCCATCCAAATTAACAGAGTACTATATAAGCAAATAATAAGGTGATGACATAATCCAGGTAATTTTCAAAATAGCAACTTACAAATATTTTGGTTTAAGTCAATGCTAAAATGCTTTTCATTAAAAAACAAAACAAAAAAACTCCCAAATTTGGGTAGAATAGCAATGTTTCTAAACCCTAATAAAACAGACATATCCAGAAAGACCAAAGATAAATTAGAACCTGATTTAATCTAAAGTTAGAGTTGTTAACTTTAAGTTACAATTATATTCAACACACACTCCTTCAAATTTTTATGCATAATGTTTTTCAAAAGTTATTTGGAAACATGTATAAAGATCTTTAAATATATCACATAGCTCAGTCATTTCACCTCTAGTGGTGCAGTAGTGGTTAGGGCATATAGCTTCTAACCAAAAGGTTGGTGGCTGAAACCACCCACCAGCTGCTCCACCAAAGAAAGATAAGGCAGTCTGCTTCCGTGAAGATTTACAGTCTTGGAAACCCAATGGGGTCACTATGAGTTGGAACTGAATCAATAATGGCAGTGAGTTTGGGCTTTTTTTTTTTTTTTTTTAATCTGTCTTTATTAAAACAAACAAACAAAAAAAAACCCAGAAGTACAGAACAAGCTGGTATGTGTGTGTGTAATTTACAATGCTCTTTCAATAATCAGTTAAATTTTAGGGCATTATAGGATGCAGAATCTACATGATGGAGTTACAAAAGAAAAACATTTTTATAGAACATTTTTTATATGAAAACATGCAACAGAAGAATCTGCCTCATCTGAAACTGTAACTGCCTCCTAACATGTAGTACAAATAAGGCTAAAAATACGATTCTTTCATCTGCTAAGTACTTTGAAGAATTACTTTGCATAATGGAGGGAAAAAACTTCAAAATTAAAAAGGAGTGCAGTGACACAGTGAGGGAAAAGGTAAAGAGAGTGAAGAAAATAACGAAGCATCAAGATCACCATAACCATGACTCAGGTAGAGCCACTTATACTCCATAATGCTTAGAAAACCAGAAGATGGGTTCTGGAGAATGGGAATGTTCAAGGTAGAATTAAAAACTGTTTGTGTGGCTGGGATGAAATCTGAACTTCTACTTGCACAAAATGGTTGACAAAAGGTTGTTCTGCACACATAATTCTTTATTCTACCTTGGGGAAAGAGAATGGAAGAGGGTAAGGAGGTGCTCAAGAAGATGTTGACTTTTGGTGTTTGGAACAAACTGGAGATGTATGAAGAAGTAGCTAACACACACAGAAACAGAAAGTGAAGACAAAGAGGTGGCTTTGAAAAAACAAGTTTTAGAAACCTGCAGAGATATCAAGATATATGAATAAGTTTTCCTCATCTTTATTTTTCTAAATTTTCTATAACGGTGTGATTTTTTTAACTGGGAAAAGAAATAAATGAAAGAGAAATTCTTAAAAATATATTTATATAGAGAACCAAGAGCAGTAATGTGTCATTTTTTCCCCCAGAAAAAGTAACAAAAAAAGGAGCAGATGGAATAAAGATCATTTCTCCACTGCAAGAGTTATTAGCTACTTCCAATGGGCTACTACTATACCCTTGAAAAATAAATCTAATTTATAAACCAAAACAGTTAAACAGTAAGCATTATATTTGTATTAAGTTACAATTCTAAAATCTACTGCATTTACATGCTTTTATTTTCAGCTCACTATTCTTTGTCACCACCACTCATCTGTCAGTTTGTTGTACTGTGGTTTCTTGCGTGTTGTGGTGACGCTGGAAGCTATGCCACCAGTATTTCAAATACCTGCAGGGTCACCCATGGTGGACAGGCTTCAACAGAGTTTCCAGACTAAGATAGACTGGGAAGAAAGATGGGACCATCCACTTCTGAAAAAAACCTGGCTACTGAAAACCTTGTGAATAGCAGTGAAACAGTCTGATACAGTGCCAGAAGATGAGCCCCTCAGTTTGGAAGGCACCCATAATACAACTGGGGAAGAGCTGCCTCCTCAAAGTAGAGTCAACCTTAATGAGGTGGAAGGAGTAAAGCTTTTGAGATCTTAATTTGCTGAGGGAGCACTACTCAAAATGAGAAAACAGTTGCAAACACTCAATGACAGACTCAAGCACAGCAAGGATTATGAGGATGGCCCAGGACCAGTAGTGTTTTCTTCTGTTGTACACTGCTCACTATGAGTCAGAGCTGACTTGACAGCACCTAACAACAATATCATCTTTGTCAGGAGCTCGGGTGGCTCAGTAGTTAAAGTGCTCAGCTGCTAACTGAAAGTTGGGTGGTTCAAATCCACTAGCTGTCCCTCAGGAGAAAGTTGAGGCAGTCTGCTTCCCTAAAGATTTACAGTCTTGGAAACCCTATTGGGCAGTTCTACTCTGTCCTATGAGGCTGTTATGACGACAGTAATGGGTTTTTGGATTCTTTGTCAGCATAAAGTAAATTTAATATTTTCAACATCTCTGAGAAAGTACAATTGTATCTTCCATACATACAGAAGGAAAAGTAAAGACAATAAAAGAAAATTATATTCTTATGATTCTATCATAGATTTTGAAATTCTTCAAGTAGTATTCATTAAAGATCTTGTTTTTTTTTTTTTTTTTAAAAAAAACACTATTGCAAGTGCTATAGGGCTCATAAAGCTAAATAAACCAAACTCACTTCTGTGGAGTTGGATCTGACTCATAGCGACCCCTCCTTTCCAAGGTGGTTTCCAAGGTGGTATCACTACGGAAGTAGATTGTCCAACCTTCATTCTGAGAAGTGGCTGGTGGGTTTGAACCACCAGCCTTCTGGTTAGCAGTCAAATGCCTTAGGCACTACGCTACCAGAGCTCCCATAAAACGAAATAAGTAAGTCAAAATCACAAAACCACAAGTGTATAACGAAGTAGGATATATAAGATGAACTTTAAGAGACGCAAGGTCCCTGGGTAGCAGAAACGATTTGCATTCTACTACTAACCTAAACAATTGTGGTTTGAACCCACCCAGTGGCACTGTGAAAGAAAGTGCTGGCAATCCGTTTCAGTCAAGACTATAGTCAAGAAACCCTTAAAGCAGTTCTACTATATAACATATGGGGTCTCCATGAGTTGGAATCGACTAGATGGCAACAGGTTTTTTGTTTGTTTGTTTGTTTGTTTGTGTCAAGAGAGCTAAAGGTCAAAAAAGGAAGAAGCCGCTGACTGGATGAAGTATGAAATAGTCCATTTAGGAAGTGACATGTGAAATGAATTGTGATAAACAGGACAACTCTAACAGATGGGAAAATCAGAATACTTCTTAGCTATTAGAATCAAGTTTCATAACTTGAATCATAAACAAATTCCATTCAACAAATAATTAAGCATGATAACAGCACTATGCTACATACCTCCAGTCCACATCCAAGTCTTCACTTACACTGGAGTCATCCTCAAGGTTATTGTTACCATCCAGCATGAAAGCTTCTGGTTGTGCAAATTCATTGGCAGGTTCATTTCCCTCATCACTGCTGCTTTCGTTCACTTCATTATATTGTAACCAAGGAATTTCTCCCTCTTCTAAGGATGTCTGTTCCCTAATACAGAATTTTAAATGAAGAAGAAATATCATTTTAAAAACACACCATAAAATTGTTCTTTAAAGAATTCTATTCAGTGTGCAAAGGGACTCTTTATTCTTTGAGTTCTACTATGCTCTTATTAGTTTCACAATTTTAAAAAGCTTTTTAACTCCAAGATTATTTAAAAGAGAAGCAAATTTGTTAGTTGTATGTATATATAAAGAGCTCCTAATTACATAGGAATATATTTATTTCATTTAGGAATTATCTATGCTCTTATTTCTCTTCCTTTTGCAGGAGAAAAATGATAAAAATTCATTCTAGACAATTTGAACTTTCAAACACTGCCCTTGAGTAGTTTATCTTCATTTAATAAAATTTAAATTTTTCAACCTGGCCTACAAATCCCTAGATAATACATGTTATTTCGTCTGTTCACTTCTCCAACTTCACATAATCAGAACTCTTCCCCATCTATTATGCTCCTACTAGTCTTTCCACTGGGAGCTCTGGTAGCGCACTGGCTAAGGCTCTTGACTGCTGACCAGAAGGCTGGTGGTTCAAACCCACCAGCCACTCCTCGGAAGGAAGATGGGGCAATCTACTTCCGTAGTGATACTGCCTCGGAAACCCAAGGAGGGGTCGCTATGAGTCGGGTCTGATTCGAGGGCATATAACAACAACAGTCTTTCCGCTCATGGAGGTCATTTCTACCCTGGGGCTGTTTCCACTACCTAGAACGCTTGTGTATCAGATTTTTGCACAGCTACTCTTCTTCATATTCAGGTTGAACTAAATGGTAAGACAGTAATAGTCTTTTAGAGATCCAGCTTATGTATAGTCACTCACCTAATGGTCCTACTTCTGGGTATTTTTCCTAAAAAAAGTATGTATAAGGCTGTCTTTGCCATATTGTTTATAGTAGCAAAAACTGTGAAAAAATTTCCATCAAAGTAAATTGGTTAAATAAATTGTAGTATAAACAAACAAACAAAAACCTCACTGCCATCGAGTTGATTCTGACTCGTAGCAACCCCTTTGGGTTCCCAAAGTGGTAAATCTTTATACAAGCAGATTGCCCAGTCTTCCTTCTATGGAGTGGCTGGTGGGTTTGAACCACCAACCTCCTGGTTAGCAGTCAAATGCCTTAGGTACTACGCCACCAGAGCTCCATGTAATATAATACTATGCAGCTTTTGAAAATATCTTAGCAAAGTTGAATTTTATTTAGGTTTTAAGAAAAGAGATAATGTTATGTAACTGTATATATGAACTTTTAAGAGCATCATTAATTTGAATTGTATTTATATTTGGTGTAAATTTAACTTGGAGAATGTGTGTAAAAACATCTTCTATGAAAGTGATGTACACAATATCCACATGTTATGTTCAATAGATTTTAAAGAAATATAAACAGTATGTCTTCTAAACCTATAAACGTTTCCTTAAGTAATTTCTGGTCCTAAACTACAGGGTAACAGGTCTGTAAGGCTTAGTACCTACTATGGCCAGTTTAGTAAGATCAGCATAACAAAATAAGCTAACTATGTTAAGGTATGAATATCAAGCAACAAACCTTTATGAAAGCACTCATCTCACTGCACTGTTAATTCACCTAGTGACTCACTTGTCTTCCTCACTAAACTGGTAGCTTCTCAATGCTGCCTCTCATCTTTGTAGTCTCAGTGCCTATAACAGTGCTTGGCACACTGTAGGCACTCTCTAAGTGGTGCAAATGAAATACTAAAACCTTGAAAAACAGCCTCTTGAAAAACTGAAATAATTTATAGAATACGCCTCGAATAGTCCTTTGAAATTCTTCTGTTATTTCTAAAGCACTTCTACAAAAAAATCCTTACATATCTTTTGTGTATTATACAGATATCAAAATGACTCAGCTACTCAATAATACAAACTTAATTTAATAACATCTTGTGAATAGGAATATTATAATTATCAAAATATATTAAATTGATACTAAAGATTAAATTTTCAAAGAGCTTTAAAATAAAATATCATACAATCATGCATCATGAGATTTTCTAAGAAATGAAAAAAATGGAAGGTAAAGAAAATTAATCCCCTGAAAACACTAACCACTGATTTTACAAATTTGCAGCACATAATTTTCAATGTTTTGGTCAATACCAACAGTTTAAAGGTGTCAGGCCTTCATAAAGTAAACTAGCGATATTCTAAGAATTGTATCTCATAAAATTCAATAAAGTATAATAAACATTCCTGACATTTAGTTAACAGGTTTTCATTTTATAAGATACATAAGCAATCATCAAACCTTATTGTTGTTGTTGTTAGGTGCCGTCAAGCTGTCTCCGACTCACAGTGACCCTATGCACAGCAGAACGAAACACTGCCCAGTTCTGTGTCAGCCTCACTATCCGTGCTATAATACCCGAGCCCACTGTTGCAGCCACTGTGTCTTTCCATCTCATTGAGTGCCTTCCCCTTCTTCGCTGACCCTCTACCTTACCAAGCATGATATCCTTCTCTAGGGAATGATTCCTTCTGACAACATGACCAAACGAGGTGAGATGAAGTCTGGCCATCCTCGCTTCCAAGGAGCATTCTGGCTGCACTTCCTCTGGGGCAGATTTGTTAGTCCTTTTAGCAGACCATGGTACTCTTAGCAATCTTCTCCAACACCACAATTCTTCTTCAGTCTTCCTTATTCATTGTCCAGCTCTCACGTGCATAAGAGGCAACTGAAAATACCATGGCTTGGGTTAGGTGCACCTGTCTTCAAGGAGTTATCTTTGCTCTTCAGCACCTGAAAGAAGTCTTTGTAACAGATTTGACCAATGCAATACATTGTCTGATGTCTTGACTGCTGCTTCCATTGGTGTTTATTATAGAACCAAGTAGTATGAAGTTTTTGACAACTTCAATCTTCTCCATTTATCATGATGCTGTTCACTGGTCCAGTTGTGAGGATGTTTGTTTTCTTTATTTTGAGCTATAATCCATACAGCTGTCTGTAATCTTCAATCTTCATCAGTAAGTACTCCAAGTCATCCTCACTTTCAGCAAGCAAAGTTGTGTCATCTGCATATCTCAAGTTGTTAATGAGCCTTCCTCCGATTCTGATGCCACATTCTTCTTTTACAGTCCAGCTTCTTGGATTATCTGCTCAGCATACAAATTGAATTAAGTATGGTGAAAGGATACAACCCTAATGCACTCCCTTCTTGATGTTGAACCATGCAGTATCCTCTTGTTCTGTTCGAATGACAGCCTCTTGATCTAGGTACAGGTTCCTCATGAGTACAATCAAGTGTTCTGGAATTCCCATTCTTCTCAGTGTTATCCACAAATTGTTATGATCCACATAATCAAATACTTTTGCACAGTTAATAAACCATAAGTAAACATCTTTCTGGTATTCTTTGCTTTCAGCTAAGATCCATCTGACATCAGCAATGATATCCCTCGTTCCACATCCTCTTCTGAATGCAGCTTGCATTTCTGGATTACCGCTGCAATCGTTTTTTAATATCTTCAATAAGATCTTACTTGCATGTGATATTAATGATATTGTTCGATAATCTCCACATTCTGTGGGATCACCTTTCTTTGGAATGGGTACAAATATGGATCTCTTTCAGTCACTTGGCCAGGTAGCTGTCTTCCAAATCTCTTGGCATAACTAGTGCCTCCAGCGGGGCATCTGTTTGCTGAAACATCTCAATGGGTATTCCGTCAATTCCTGGAGCCTCGTTCTTCACCAATTCCTTCAGTGCAGCTTTGACTTCTTCCTTCAGTACCATTGGTTCTAGAACATATGCCACCTCCTGAAATGGATGAACACTGACCAATTCTTTTTGGTACAGTGACTCTGTGTATTCCTTCCATCTTGTTGTGATGCCTCCTGCATCATTTAATATTTTGTCCATAGAATTTTTCAATATGGCAACTCAAGGCCTAAATTTTTCCTCAGTTTTTTCAGCTTGAGAAATGCCAAACATGCTCTTCCCTTTTGTTTTTCTAACTCTAGGTCTTTGCCCATTTCATTATAGTATCTTGCTCTGTCTGGCAATGAAAATACATCTTTGGGATTGTAATGTCCATTTCTCTGATTACTAATGAGGTTCAACATCTTTTGAGACTTCTGTTGTAGTTAGGCACTTTCAAATTATTTCTGACTCACAGAGACCCTATGTATAAGAGAATAAAATGTTGCCTAGTCCTGCACCATCCTCACAATAGGAGGTATGTCTGGGCCCACTGTTGTTGCTGCTGTGTCAACTCATGTCATTAAGAGTTTTTCTCTTGTGCTGGCCCTTTACTTTATTAAGCATGATGTCCTTCTCCAGGAATTGGTCCCTCCTAACAACATGTGCATAAGCTGGACTACATGAGGAAGAAAGTGGCATCAGGATTGGAGGAAGGCTCATTAACCACTTGAGATAGGCAGACGATACAACTTTGTTTGCTGAAAGTGAGGATGACCTGGAGTATTTACTGATGAAGATTAAAGACTACAGTCAGCTGTATGTAGTACCCCTCAATATAAAGAAAACAAATATCCTTATAACTGGACCAGTAAGCAGCATCACAATAAATGGAGAAAAGACTGAAGTTGTCAAAGACTTCATATTACTTAGTTCTAATCAATACCAATGGAAGTAGCAGTCAAGACATCAAAAGACATATTTCATTGGTCAAATCTGTTGCAAAAGACTTCTTTCAGACTTCATCTGACCTATTTTGGTCCTTCTGTCAGAAGGGACCATTCCCAGGAGAAGGATGTCATGCTTGGTAAAGTGGAGGGTCAACGAAAAAGGGGAAGGCCCTCAACAAAATGGACTGACACAGTGGCTACAGCGATGGGCTCAGGTATAGTAGGGATCATGAAGCTGGCACAGGACCAGAGAATTTCATTCTGTTGTACATAAGGTTGCTGAGTCAGAGACAACTTGATGGCACATAACAACGACAACAAAAAACATGTGCAAAGTGAAATAAAGTCTCACCATCCTTGCTTCTAAGGAGTATTC